AGGGAAACAAATGACAAGTGAACTTAGTTCACTTAGTGAACAAGACATGAACTGAGATGATGTTTTTTTCTTGCGCTGTTTGGCTACCAAGACAGACCTTCATTAGAAACCTTCTAGAGCAATTTGCCCCCTGACAGTGGTTAGAGAGAGGTGTGGGATGTGTGTCCTGCAAGGGCTGCAGGGAGAGGACTAGAGGGAATGGCCTTGAGCTGAGACAGGGCAGAGTCAGAGGAGATGTTAGGAGAAACATTTTTCCTGTTAGGATGTTCAGGAATAGGGAATTGCCCAGGGAAGCAGTGGAATCGCCATCCCTGGAAGTGTTTAAGAGGTGTTTGGATCTGGCGCTGGCGGACATGGTTTTTGGGGTTCCAGCAGTGACAGGTTAATGGCTGGATATGATGATCTTAGAGGTCTCCTCCAACCTTGATGACTCAATGATTCTGTGATTCTAATAGATACAGGTAATATCTACCAGAACAGTACAGATGGAGTATGCAACAAATTCCTAAAGAGCAGCATTTTAGAACAATCTACACATAAAACAAGTCATCTGTGCAGAGCATTTTAACAAGAGTATCAAGTGTAATGCAACATACAACCACTGTTGCAAAATGTGCTTGGATCATGTAGATTGGTAGCAGTTTTCTCTAACTGATAAAGCAATATATGGCCTCAAGCTGCACCAGGGGAGGTTTAGATTAGGTATTAGGTAATTTTTTATCACTGAAAGGGTTATCAAGCACTGGAACAGATTCCCAGGGAAGTGGTGGAGTCACCATCCCTGGAAGTGTTCAAAAAACTGTCTGGACATGGCGCTTGAGGATGTGGTTTCCTAGAATCATCAAAGTTGGAGGAGATCTCTAAGATCGAGTCCAACCATTAACCTGTTACTGCTTTAACCCCTAAACTCTAAACTATATCCTCCAATGCCAGATCCAGACACCTCTTAAACACTTCCAGGGATGGTGACTTCACCACCTCCCTGGGCAATATCCCAGTGCCTGAACACCCTAACCGGGCAAACATTTTTCCAAACATCCAGTCTGACTCTGCCCTGTCTCAGCTCAAGGCCATTCCCTCTAGTCCTCTCCCTGCAGCCCTGGCAGGTTTAATGGTGAACATGGTGGTGGTGCTAGGTAGGTGGTTGGACTTTATGATCTTAAATGTATTTTCCAGCCTTAATGACTTTATGATTCTATACTAAGAACACAAGACCCCATGGAATCCCAGAGATCTGTCCTTCACCTACACACCCCCAACCCTGCCAAAGCACAAGCTCTACTGAGTAGAGCCACTGTCCTTTGTCAGCTCAGTAGGGTCTCTGCAACTACATTCAACTCCATTGTAAAGATGGCTCTAGATTTGGACTACTTGGAGAGAGTAGAGTCCAAAGTTTCTCAAACAGAAACTCTAAAAATTGTAGGTTTTTTATTCTTCACTCTCTAACCCTCCACAAGAGACTATGATGTCCTTCTTGGGCTAACTTTTAAATCACTTCTCAACCATCTGTCCCCACTCAATCCAGAGACAGGTTTATCATTCTCTTTAGTGGACACAGAAGTCTCATTTAACAGATCTAACAATCTCATCTGTAATTAGGACTTAACATCAATAGCAGATATCATCTGCTACTCTTCTCTGGATCAAAAAAACCACAACTATAAAGTAAGCATGCACTGACTTACATGAACACAGATAGCAAAGTCTGCTGCTTCTCTTCTGGTGCCACAACGTGGATGAAGAAAGAAACATCCAATCCTCTTCAGATAATTGTAGATTTTGCACTGTACTGGAGGTTTCCAGTTACTGTGTCCCCCTAAACAGCGAAGAGGAATTAAATTAGTAATAAAAAACAACAGAGAAAACTAACAAAGGGTGGGGAGGGTGACCCAGGCGTGACATGCACATAAAAACATACCTAAAGAACAGAATTAAGAGTGCAAGAAGGCAAAAGCAAACATAAACCTGACTTTAAGGACAGAATTTATTTTGACTGGTATGAAAGCTGAAAAAAACACAACTAAAATCCTCCAAACCTCCTTGTTCTTTAGCTAGAGAACAAATAAAAAAGTAGCTAGTTTGATATTACTCATTCAATTCATTATGCTTTTTCCCTTCTAATCCTGAAAAATTTATCTTCTAGACACCATGTGCTTTTAGGCACAAGGATGTATTTTTTTCCAGTTTGAAGCACAGTTATGGCTAATGTGCAGAAGCAGAGGAGCTCTGGGAACACAGTACAAGTAACAGAAATACTTGTCTTAGGGAAACTCAAGGTAAAGGAGTTAAGAGTCAACAGACTGTGTAACTGCCTGACATCACATGTCAGAACTCTTTAAAAAGAGGATCCAAGAACTGGAGCAACAGCTGAAACAAATGCTAGAGTCCTGACAAACCCTTGGATGCAGTCAAAGATTAGCAAAATGAGGCTACAAGTGGGGAAAAAAAGTGCTGCAATTTTCTCCACAGTATGTAGTTACTGGCTGAGCAAATAGCTGGATCATAAAGAAGAGCTGAGTAATGTGCCTGCTACAGACAAGAGCAATACCAGGCTGGAATAAGCTGCAAGGGAAAGGAAAGAAGCAGGAAGTCTTTCTAGAAGAGAGGGAAAACATAGAAGTTTGCAGTTACTATGATACCATAAAAAGACAAACAAATGGCAAGGACCATTTGAAGAGAGTGACTAAAGATTTCATAACATTCCCAATTGCTAAGAAATAATGGGTCTGCAATGGGGAGGGAAAAATGTTTCATCTGCCAGATGACAGAGTGGCTGGATGTGAGATTTTGAATGGAAAATGCAATCAGTCACTGATGGCACTTCATATGAGGACACAGGAAACCAAGGCTCAAGCAAACAGGCTGTGAGGATTGGGTGTGCCAACGTGTCCACTTGCAGTCTGACAGAGAAAAGCATTGGTCAGCAGATTTCTCCTGGGATTTTTGTATTCGTTTCAGCCTAATTGCTCAGAGAAGGTATGAAGAACTATCTCAAAACTTAAAGATTTAGTAAGAGGCTACATGGAAATGACTTAATGGTACCTAAGAATATTTGCAATTTTCTCATCTGTTGACAGCCTTTGTCACTGATATTTGGGAAAGATTTGTAATCTCCAAGCCTGATTTTTGGCTGCATAAATATGCAACATAAACATTTGGCCAGGACAGCTGAAAACAATGACAGAACTGTATTTACTCTGGCAGAGTTAGACCACAAATGGATGAAGGACAACTCGAGGTCTGAAAACATAAACAATACAGACCAGGACAATGCCATCACAGAACATCCTGAGTGGGAGGGGACCCTTGAGGATCATCCAGTCCAACCCCTGGCCCTGCACAGGACATCCTGAAGAATCACACCATGTGCCTCAGAGGATTGTCCAAATGGTTCTTGAACTCTGCCAGGCTTGGGGCTGTGACCATTTCACAGTCAAGAACACTAAGCAAAGTAGTACAGTGCAGTAGTGTTCACAAGTGTAAAATGCACCAGGCAACTCCTACAAATCTGTTAAGATGATGCCTGTCTTTCAGGCAGTAAATATTTTGAACCTATCCCTTATCTTGACTTTACTGAAGAATTCAATGCAGCACAGGCAAAATAATTATCAAGGCAGATAGAGAGAAAACCAGAAGAAAAAAGCATGAGGTAGACAAGAAGTTGGCTCAAAAACAGTCAGCTAAGCAAAAGTATCAAGTTAAAGGTATGCTACTGGCAGACTTTGCAAAATTACTTATGGTCCCTTTCACCCCAAACCATTCTATGATTTGATGAAACCCATGAGTGAGTTCCAACAATCACCTTGTACCACTACTGGTATCTTCCACAAGTGAGATAACACCTATTAATGTCCAGGATAAACAGGCACATCCTTAAGGAACAAGCTAGAGACAGAACAAAATTCAAAGTGTAGAAATGCAAAATCATGCCTTTTGGAACTAAAGAAAAGGCATCAGCATTATGAGAAGGATTTGGGAGTTAAAACCAAAATAACTTCTGAGTATTATGGCTGCCCTGATAATTATGAAAACCTAATATGATACAGCTTAAGTTCATCAGGGAAGCCAGGAAGATACCTCAACTGTTCCACAATTCTGGAACAATATTGCAAAAGGAATAGTAAGAGCAGTGGAGGTTAAGACTGAGTTAGAAGAGTTCAAAAACATTTCTATCACATGGTGCCTGTGACACTGTGGCTTCAGAAGCTTCAGGAGCTGTTTGCTCCTGTTCTTAGCTCTCTCAGATTCAAGGAAACTCTGCACAAGTATATGTGGAGACTCGTTAGTCTTATCTTCCAATTTCCATCAAACACTTTTTTACCTTGAAAGCCCCAGATAAAGGTCCCTTGGTTGAGGTTAGCTGGCAGCTGCATGAATAAGCTCCCCCAGTTGTCCAGATCCACCAGCACAATGTGAGTCATGGTACTCAGGTAGTCAAGGTCAGGAAGTTCACCATCTTCAATGGGATAAAAAGGGTGCACTTAAAATTCACCTGACTTTCTGATCAACCAACATACATCAACTGAAAGAAACACTTTGGAAAATTCAGGTATTCAACTGCAGTGTAAGCTAAAATTACAAAACATGATCCTATTTGGAGATTGCATAGGTTTTAAAATCAACTGAAGTAGAATTCAATAATGCACAAATCAGACCAAAAAGACAGAATCTGGCTATACAATGGTGTAGAGCTGGATGGCTTTGTGGTAGGCACTGAGACATTTTAATAATACATCTAATATTCAACTGTACATCCCTGACTATGGCAAGTCTCTGTGGAATTCAATAGCTTCTGTGCATAAAAGCAAGTAAAATGTTCAGGTAGGCACTTTCTGCTGTACTTCTAATGTCAACCTCTTAATCAAAAGCATTAAGACACCATGAGTAATTAAGAAAAACTTCCAACTTCTAAACACAAGGTACACCTTCAGCATTCTGGATGTCACTCTTAGAAGTGATCATGAACTTCAATTTGCATGCTTGAGATAAAAAACCAATACACACTGAGAATATAAATCCTCAGCTGATACTGCTTTTTGCCAAGCTATGGAAACTGAGAAGATGGTGATATAACAGGACTGCCCACAGAGAAAGCACTAGCAGGCTCATAAATATCTATACATAAAAAGAAGGCTAGTTTTTCTTCAATGTGGATTGTAGATAACTTTTACATTTCTATGCATTAGATGTCTCATTGGGGTCCTTGATTGTTGTCTTCATTCTAACATCAAATTATACTCCCAACTATGAAAATTAAATGTTTCAGACTCAAGATTCTCATCTGATTTTTTTGGTTTTTAAAAGATTTCATGCATAAGGCATATAGCAATACATTGTTGAGTCCAAGTTTTGGAAACTCAAACACTGAGAATTTAAAATGAAGCTTTGAGAAATAAATATGAAACTCTGAGCTCATTTACAGATGGGATGTAGTCAAATGCTATGTTACACACTGACACTGAAACAGAGTGGGTTTTGGGTTTGTTCAGCCTTGAGAAGAGGCTCAGGGGTAACCTCCTGGCTCTCTGCAACTCCTGCCAGGGCTGGAGAGAGGTGTGGGATGTGTGTCCTGCCAGGGCTGAGGGAGAGGACAGAGAGAATGGCCTTGAGCTGAGCCAGGGCAGAGTCAGATTGGATGTCAGGAGAAATGTTTTCCCTGT